GAGTATCAATCAAGTCAGTAAAACCCAAACCTGTTTATTTGGAAAAAATAATAAAAAAAAAAGAATCAATAATCCTCATATGATGTGGGATTCCCCTCTGTATGCTTTGAATACCATTGGTTAATAAAGAAGCTGTTTAGGGCCTGTAATAGAGTAGAGAAGAGCTAGGTAGGGAAAACTAAACTGAATGCTGGGAGAAAGGAGGTGGAGTCAGGGAGAAGTCATGTAGCCCTGGGGGAGACAGATGTCAGAACTTTACTTGGAAAGCCACAGCCACGTGGTGATACACAACTTAATGGAGATGGGTAAAATTAATATGCAAGAGCTAGCCAACAAGAAGCAAAATCTAATAGGCCAAGCAGTGATTTAAATAATACAGTTTCTGTGTGGTTATTTTGGGTCTGAGTGCCAGGCAGCCGGGAAACAAACAAGGGACCTCTTTCTATACTCACACAACAAGCAAGCATGCCCATCCCCGTTTGGACAAAGGCAGAGCGAGTGAACAAACGCTTTAAGCCAGGAATGAAAAGGAAGGTTCACTCCTGACTCCACAGAAATTAGAAAATGTATATTAACGGTATTATAACTTCATGAGAAAAGATGGACTACTTAGATGGAAGATTTAAAAATATTCTAGGAAGAACAACACACACCTAAACTCAGAAAAATGTGAAATATCTAATTAGTCCTAGAGGAAGTAATGCTATTGAATTAGTCATTAGATAAAATAAAGGAGTGAAAGAGAGAGGTGAGGAAGAGAAGAAAGAGGAAATGGAAAAGTAAACAGCGTCTCATAGAGGTTTGACCCAGATTGCTCCTTTGGCGAATTCTAAAATCTTCAAAGAAATAATAACAATTATACAAAAACTATTCTCAGAATATAAAGATAGAGGGACTGCTTCCTGAGGTGTTTCTCTAAGTCAGAGTTAGTCTGATTCAGAAATCAGAACAAGGCACCGTTAGACATAATACTGGCAAACAACGCACCACATATACAAGATAGAAGAAATGACAATCGTTGGCACATCAGAACAAAAAGCGTGTTATAAAGGATTATGCAGTTCAACTAAATTCAGTTTATATTGACATCCTCGGTGGTTTAATGTCTGAAAATCAGTTAATGTAATAAAGGGCAACCAAAATAAAATCATATTAATACAGACAGACTTCATGATATTCAACATACGTAAGAACAACGCAGTAATCTAGAAATAAAAAGACATTTGCTCGAGTTAATAAAGATCTCCTGTGTATGTCTAATGCCAACACCATCCTTAACAGAGACAGACAGAATGTTCATCTCTGAGGACTAAAATGTATAGTCCCACTGCTTCTGTCCTAAGTAGAAAAAAGATACTAGGCTGTAGAATAAGACAGGCAAGAGGAATTCACAGAACATTCAATGGTGACAATCAGAAGTACCTTTGCTAATGGATAGCATGATGTAACATGTAGTGAAAACTTAGAGATAAAACAAAATAAGCAAGTTTTGTGTGTTCCAAAGTCATTTTGCTAGTTATAAAATCATTATATAGGTAAATATTTTTTACTAGCACAACTAAAAATTAGAAAAGGAAAGTTAAAAAATCCATTAGAAAGGATATAAAAAATAATAAAAGACACAGGAGAACCACTTAGAAAGTAGAGAAGGAATTGAAAAACAGAGGCAAATTGTAGGGTATTTAAGCTCAGACTCTCCACATAATGTCAAGATTCTGAACCTTCCCAACAGGTCTTTAAGATCCTTTACTTCCTGCCAAGACCACAAGGATTTCCGTGTGTGTGTGTGTGTGTGTGTGTGTGTGTGTGTATGTGTGTGTCTGTGTGTGTGTGTTTATAAAACTTTGCAAGGTAATCATAGCCATGCGATTATGCAAAGTCCCTGGGTTACCAGAATCAATATTTTTAGGAAGCCGTGCTACAGTGTCTAGAGTATCCTACCTCAAAAGTCACCATAAGCCACAGTGACAATAGTGCGATGTTGGTATAAAGACAAACAAATGCATCCTTGGCGCTCTTACACTTGGAGTCAATTGATTTTGAGTAGATAAGGCAGATGAACTCAGAAAGAGCATTTTCAACAAATATCTTTGAGTCAGTTATTCCAAGCTGGTACAACAAACAATTCTGTGTCAGTGCCAAATAAATTGAAATTGAAAGTTTAGTTCACAGTGTACACAAAATTAAATCAAATGGAAACACACACACACACACACACACACACACACACACACCAACTAAAAGTTTCCATAGGTAGAAAATGAAACACACTTCTGATTTTGGATTTGTTATTATTTCTTGTATATGCTACCAAGAAACATGACCCAAAAGAGAAAAGGTAGCACAATGTATTACATAAAACTATGCTGTTCATAACATATTAATTGTGGAACTAGAAAGACTGTTCATCAGTGACAGACTTGGGTTGAATTCCCAGCACTACACAGGGACTAACAACCATCTGTAACTATCATTCCATGCGATCCAGCCCCTTGTTCTGGGGACACACGCACACAAATTGGCCTTTTTGGTATCATTTCTTATATAATACATAAGATCCGAGATAAGAACTTAGAAGTAAGCTATTAGAAGAGAGGAATAATCTCAAGATACATTCTGGGACTTGACCGTAGAATGAGGGAGACTGGCATCACAGAGGTGGTAGGGTACAGACGGGAAACTGAGAAAGTCCACTGGTGCAGTCCAGGGGTCTTCTAAACAAAATGACTTCAGTTTGAGAAGATACAATTGAAAATGATATTTAAAAATAGAATCTGTAACAAAATCCTATACTCTCCGTGGGAGGGTGTTTGTAGGACTCAAGTTCTTATAAAACATTGTATAACATTAACAAATGATCCACACACATTCTACAATATACATGGAATCACGTCTAGCTTTCTTTCTGTCCACGGATGAAAAGCCTGCCGATATGAGGGCCAACTATAATTTATTCAGCCCCATTAAGCATCAACTTGCATGAAATGCAAGTTCAATTTTTCCAAAATATATGCTCAGAAAGTATTCAGATTGAATTGTAAGTGACAGAAAAAAACTGAGGGATTGATGATGTTTTGAAATATCAAGTGCTCTTCAAATTCTTGCTGAACCAAAACAGTCCCGTTCTGGCTGAACTGAGTGCTCTTTCGTTCCTAACTTGCTTATGGTTTTACTACCCAAGGTCTGCCCAACACACTACCTGGCACATGTTACAAAATAAAACCAGTTCTGAGTCAATTAAACCATGCCTAGTGACTTCCAAGGGTCCGTTTTATGGGTCAACCAATTAAATAAACTTATTTAATAATCAACATTTATTGGTAAACACGGGATGCATTACTCTTTGATGATGCTTCTGGATGGGGCTCATACAGCCCATTACGATAACTGGCTTTGGCATTTCTCTCATTTTACGATGAGCACCATAAAACCTAGCCCTCCCCAAGTCCTTTTCCTATCCCGTGTTGCCTCTGTTCTCTGTAGATACTTAGCATGTATGCATTCATTTTCAGACAGGGGTAATTTGTTATCATTATGATGTCGTGTCTCTGTGACTCTCCACATTCATTATTGCATGTGCTCCGTCACAATCCAGTCTTGTTCCTCTAGTAATGACATTGTATTGTAATTATCTGAAGCATATTTGAAAGCATTATGCAATGCAAAGCGCTGATCAACCGTAAGGCCTTGAAACCACCAGACTAAAATAAACACTATGACTAGGGTGTTCCAATTCATATTGAATTTCCCAAAAAAGAATGCCAACTTAATAAACTAAAAGAAAAATTAGTATGCACAAAACAATGAGTGCTCTTGTAAAAAAAAATCCCTTGTTTATAAATGATGATTCGCACTATAATTGAGAAATTAAGTTTATTTAATAAGTTGGTGCATTTTGCTCAGCCTTTATGCTATGTTGTTTGAGGAGTGTGGGATAAAGTAAACTGTAACATTAAAAGCCAGCCTCATTCCAATTTATTTTTATAGCAGCATACAAAACAACCCAAGCTTAAAGTACATTCAGGCGCGGGGACTCAAATCCCTAATGGGAAGGAAGCGGCTCCATAAACAGATGTGATCATGGATTCTGAGTTTATTTGCTTGTGGCAAAAATAAAAGTACCAACTCAATAAGTTTTAATTTATAGGCATCTCCACCAGAAAGCCTTTGGGCGCTTTGAACAAAACTGACTAAATATAAAATTTCATACAATAAAACTTCATCTGCTCCATTCTGCCTTCTCGCTGGGAAATGTAAATTCTTCAGCAGCAGAAAGGGACAATTTCTCTATGTCTTTTGTAACTACGCTGTGATCTAAGAGAAAATGCCATTGACTATACTACTGACACCTGACTGAAGATGGAAGAGACACCAGAGGGTCTCCAGATACCTATAGTCACTGTGGTTCTGCCCTGGCTCTCCTGGACTGCTAGGGCAAACAGATGGTGGTCTGGTCTAAGCCAGGCTAGATATATCCTGTCCCTTTCTCAGGCAAAGTCTCCATCCTGCATTTTCCTTTTTACTATAAAGATTGGTTCCTAGTATGTATCTAAATATATATATGTGTACGTATACTACATGTGCTGTGTATGTGAAGACATGTTCGTGGGTGTGCATGTGCTTGATGTGCCTGCACATGTGTGTATAAGTGCATATGAAGCCCAGAGGTTTTATGTTGGGTATGGTCATCTATCAGCATTACTTTCTGAGTTTCCCGCTGAACCTGGAGTTTACTGATTTGGCTTGAACGGATAGACAGCAAGCCATACAGCTTCTCCTGTCTCCACATCTCCAGTGCGGGGATCATAGACCCACACCAGAATGCCTAGTATTTACGTGGGAACTGGGGATCCAAAGTCAGGTCCTGATGCTTGCACGGCAAACAGTTTACTAAATACTTCATCCCTTGAGCCCTGATATAAAGGTATCTTTAAACACCTTTATCATGGAAAGTACAAATTTGAGATGATGAGACAGAAGCGTGGTGCTTCTGACCTTACCTGACGTTATCTTCCTTCAGAGTCTCAGTGGTGAATTCCAGTATGTCCGCTGCTGTCCCCACAAACATCAGAAGAAGTTCTGAGAGTTGGTCTCTAGTAATGGTACCTCCAATGGGTAGAAGCCACCGTCCAAGGATCAATATTAATAGCAGCGTTTGATGGAGTGCTAGGGTCCAAACTGGATCACATACCATGGATATGTTTACTATGAACCCCGAGGTCTGTTGAACAGAGACAGCCCACAGACATCAGGATTAGAGACCAGCCATATGTAGAAGATTGTCTACTTCAACCTGGATTTCAGTTAACAGTGTGTTTCTGTCAACATTTTCCAAGAGTCATTCTTAATTTAATAAGAAAAATGAACACCCTAAAAAGGAAATATAATGGAGTCCTTAAGGTCAGACTTACCCTGTGGCTAATTTAAATCTTACACTTAGTAAGACAATATCTTGTGATAGTTAAAGCACCAATGTAATAATGTTTTAAAGATCATTGTGGATTTTATTATGCTTCACAATACAGTATAATACATAGCACTGTTTGATACATTCCATATTAAAATTATAAAAAATCTAGGATTTACTTTAACTAATTTTAAATCTGAATTTACTAACATTGGAATTTTTAACATACTACAGTTTTCCTTTTGTTCCACATTGCCTTAAACCTCTAACCAGAAAAAAATTAATGTTTGTCCATTTGTTTAGTGGGAGAGAATAATTGTAATTTTTCCTATCTTTGCTCTGAATACATATAATATTATACAATAATCCATAATTCAGCAAGAAATATTCAGCCTGCCTTTATTTTTAGGTTTTGAGAAAATTTTAGATCCCTTATTAGATCATGGAGGGAATACCCTTCCCATTTAATTTCTAAGTAAATTTCAAAGCATGTTATTACTGGCTTAGGCTAAAATATGTCAAGACTACAAAAGCTATGTCACAAATAGACAGGATAACGATTCCAGGTGACCTCTGCCAAGGGTATAGCTACTCTTGTGCAAAATCTAAATACACCTCTTGATCAGTTGTCCATACCAAATCCACAGTACAAAGGGAGAGAAGGGACCAAGGAAGACAGGGAAATGATGGAGTCCATGCAGGAAGGTTAAAAATTTTTATAACTTGCTTCTTGATTTCTCTCCCGTGTGGCTTTGCATACAACTCACTTAACTCACAGGATAAATATTACTATTTTAGTTAAGATGAAAAGCAAGTGACTTGTTCACAGTAACATAGGGAAGTCCTACTAGAACTTGAGTGATAATGTATTCATTGCTTTATTCTCCTCTGGCACCCAACAGTGTATCTTATTTTAGAAAACATCTTTCAGTAGTAGTGACCTCATTTGTCTTTAGTCCCCTCCGTAAACAGTTTTCAAACAGGTCATTATCAACTTGCAAAATATAAGATGTGTGAAGAAAAAGAGTCACTGAATTTTGGCAAATATTTTTTTCTATTATATGGATCCTATATATAAATATGGTGAATATATAATAACAAATATGTATTTATATATCCCCAACTACTTCAACAAAATAAAAAAAAATAAGAGTTATATTCATTGGAAAGAAGGATATAGAACTGTCTTTGCTCAGACATCACATACTTTTGTATGTAGAAAGTCCTAAAGATTTGGTGGGGAAAAGAAAAAAAAACTTTCCTTGAACTCAAGAAGAAATTGTAGAATAAAGGTTGATATTCAAGAGTCAATCTCCTTTTTCTATACTAGTAAAGAAATAGATGTTGAAACTAAAATTCATAATCACATTAGCACTGTTAAAAAATAAAACACTTGGTTATGAATCTAGTAAAATGTTAAAGTACATGTGTGTTGTGTGTACATCTACGTTAAAATACATGTTATATTAATACATATAAATCAGATAAATAGAGATATAGATAATAAAACTACTAATACTGAGGAGTTAAACCAGTCTTTCTGTTTTCTGGACAGTACTGAGAGTCAAACACTGGACCTTCTATCTACGAGGCCTAAGTTCTAGCTCTAAGCTATGTCCACAGTCCTTGCAGGCTGAAAACGAAGATGGACTAACTGTAGAGATGGCTCTTGTTCATTGCTAAGCAGACTCACCATTGTCAATATGTCAAGTGATCCATGACTTGCCATGTATTTGATGCCAGCTCAACCATAGCATCATCAAACTATTTTGTGAGTGGTGAGGAACTGAGTATTAAAGATGCTATGTAGAACTATAATATTCAAAATTGCTCACAAAACCGTGTTCAACCCCCAGCACCACATATACCTGATATGGTGGTACCCGCCTATAATAGCATGTGGACGGTGGAGACAGGAAAATTAGAAGTTCAAAGTCATTCTCAGCTACATAGTGAGTTTTTAGCCAACCTGCACTGTGTGATACCCTGCCCCAAATCTATACAGATGTTGGACTAACATATCACTAAGAAGCAAGATATATTAAGAAAGGAGATTATGTATGTATGAGTGGAAGAGGTTTATGGGTAATTCAGATACCTGAAATGAGAGAGATACCTTCCTCTCATTTATGCTGCAAATTTGAATTTACTCTGATTAGAGAAAGATGTTATTATGCACAACTATATATTAAATATAGACATAATTAGAGTACCTAAATTTGTGACAATATAATTAATATGCTGTAATATGATACACTTTAGTTATGTTTCTATATATTTGTAAGAGCTGTGCTTCTAATGCATGTGTTTATTAATGTTAAGAACATCAGCATGTAGGTGATACAGGTTTAATGAAGGAAACACATCTTCTTTTACAATTCTTGTGCCAAAAACTTTTGCACCTTTATGAAACTGATCATAAATTATGAGAAAAGCTCTCACCCACTCTTTGAAATTTTCCATTCCGATGGTGTGTCTCTGGGACATCATGGTTTGATTGGCATCTCCTCCTTTGCTGACGTTCTGTACCTGGGTGCTGCAATTCTAAGAATTGAGAACAGGTGTGGAAAAACTGTCACAGTGAGGTAACAGCAAAGCAGCTACACTCCATGCAACAGAGGATGAAGATGTGGGACATTTCCAGGGACCCTACAAACATTACCTGAGACCGAAATATGAGGTGGAAGGTACCGAGGAGAGAGTTCACTGCCTGACCCCCAATGCATGGAAGATACAGATGCTGAACCATCTTAGAGAGCTGTAAAATCTATGGGTTAGTAAGTGGGGTCCCTTTCTTGAACCTTTTTTGGAAACAAATGTGATACAAACTCAAAGAATACATTTATTTTATGAGTTTGTTTTCTTACCAAGAAAGCTCTCTATCTAAAAATATCATTCCAGTTAAATAAATAATCCAATTACTTTTCACCCTTCAGGCCAGGCTTTGGCACGAACGAGTCAGCACGTCCAGCATCCCAGATGCCAGTGCTGCCACTAAGCCAACTTAGGGCTGTGGGAAATTTGATAATTGACCTAAAGGGTGATTTCCTTCTTTCCTTTCTTCATTATGCAAGCAAACTGTCTGTAATCTTATCTAGCCAGATATTGGGAAACTGAGGTAGAATATAGGTGGGAAAATTTATAAGACAACACTTGGCAATGTAGCCACTGCAGCCATAGACTTTACAAAATGGCTTTAGAGAGTGATCGACTCTAAGTATCTACAGTGTTGGCGTGTTTTATAAACACACACACACACACACACACACACGAGAGAGAGAGAGAGAGAGAGAGAGAGAGAGAGAGAGAGAGAACAACCAAATTATCACCACTATCACTACCATACTCCATGATTACACATTTCTTTAGAGAGAAGTTATTGGAGGGGAAGAGCTAGAGCTATAAGAAATGTTTTTTCATAATTATTCTCAATACTGTACCATTTATACCATAAGTCATTTGACAAGTAGACAATAAAGTCTACCAAGAAGCCATTATTTTCTGCTCTCAACTTAAGTGACTAGTGTTCTAAGTGTAATAACGTGATTAGAAGTAGGCACACTATGTGTGTATGTGCATGTATGTGTGTGCATGCATGTATGTGTGTACATGCAAGTGAATGTGCAAATAAGCATATGTATGTGAATGTGAATGCACACATGTGTGCATGTGTTATATGTGTGTGCATGACTGTGTGTGCACATTCATGTTAGTGAACGTGCATGTGTGTATGTTGTGTTTACATGCATATATGTGTATATGCGAATGTAACCAACGTTTAAAGAAGAGATAGTGTAGCCAAAACACTGAATCTTTGATGCAAACCACCAATCATCATCTGTCCAGTAAGTTGGTGAGCCTAACTATGTAATTGTAGCTAGAGACAAAACTTTAGCCACTTGTTTATTATAGGCATAAAAATATACTGTGTGTTAAAAGTGCGCAGGTATTAGGCTTTAATATGTTTATCTGTAAAACTGCATAACCATCTTGCTATTAGGGAAAATGACACTCTTGAAGGCAGGGCCTTCTTCTTCTTCTTCTTCTTCCTCTTC